GAGGGGCGTGCTGCTCACGACCGCCGCGAGCCACCCCAGGCCGCCGGGCCGCCTGCCTTCGCGCCGGGCCGCCTGCCCCCGCCTTCCGCCTCCCTCCATTTCCCGGAGCCGCTACCCGGAGCACCCGGACCCCAGCCCTTCTCAGGGGAAGCTCCCGGCCGCCTTCTGGCTTCACTTCTTCCTCGTAGCCTGGGCCCCCTCTCTCCTTTCCCGACCAGGGTCTCACCCACTTGGGTCTCCTCCTTTAGGTCAGGCTCCTACCCCTTGCCTTAGCGCGGAGTCCCAGCTCGTCCTCACTTTGCTCAGCCAGAGGTCCAGCCTTCTTGCTGCTTTTTCCTTGGCGGAGGTCCAGCCTGTGCTACCCCTTCCTCTGTCCCTAGAGTGCAATCGGCTCCCGTATCCCCTCTCCCAGGCCTGGAGTTTCCCCAGGTCCTTCCCGGGCCCTCGTGTCTCTTCTCCGGTGTGGAGTTCCGGACTGCGCGTCCGGCCTCCCTCTGTCGCTGGAGGACTGCTTCCCGGAAAATCTCTCTGAAACATGCACTTTTCCTAGACTGCGGCTCCAGTCTCTTCCCAGCTGCCCGCCCGCCGCTGCCTCTGTCCCGTGTGCTCTCGGGTCGCCCAAGGTCCAGGCCTCCAGGCTGGGGGAGCAGCGCCATGCTCCTGGGCGCCGGCGGCTGTGGCCTCTTTCCTCCTCGGAGCTTGCCTTCGTTGCTGGTGGTGGTGGCCCTGGTGGGGCTGCTGCCTGTGCTGCGGAGCCACGGCCTTCAGCCTAGCCCTACTGCCAGCACCATCCGAGGCTCAGAGCCTCCCCGAGGACGCTCCATCGGGGATGTCACCACTGCCCCCCCAGAGGTCACCCCAGAGAGCCACCCTGTTAACCATTCTGTCCCTGATCATGGAATGAAGCATCGAAAAGCCTTTCCAGTCCTGGGCATCGACTACACACATGTACGCAGGCCCTTTGAGATTTCCCTCTGGATTCTGCTGGCCTGCCTCATGAAGATAGGTGAGTCCGTCTGTCCACCACTGTGCCCAACACTGCCACTGCCCAAGCTGGGGTGCGTGGGAGGCCGCCTGCTCGCCGGGGTCTGGCAGTACTCTGGACACAGGCAGCCACTGTCCTGCCTTCTCTTGGACTTCTCAGATTCCCGCTCTGGCCTTTGTGGTCCAGGGGCTGCCGGGATTGAGGTCAGCATGGTGCAGGGAGAGAGCAGGTCGGGGTGGGATGCTTCTCACCCTTGGTGTCTCTGGCTCAGCCGTGCCCCAGCTGCATGTGAGACAGAGGAGTGTCTTCTAGCAAGTGTCACGCTCTGCTCTGTGGACAGCAGCCAGGATAATTTATTATACACTTCAGGAGCATGTGTACCAGGAGGGAGTACGTTTCTCCTTGGCCTGCCCGAGGGGTTTGCGTGTCGTCTCGAATGTGTGGAGCACAAGGAGTGCCCGTATTCTAACCTTCCTGGAGCTCTAGAATGTTACCTGTTGGGCTCGCCTGCCCAGGCTGGCCGCAGCCCCAGCTGCCTTCTGGCCCAGGAGTATCGTCCTCTGTACCAGCATAAGGGACGGAGCCCTGGAAACACCTGAAGTCTGTTTTGGGGGTGGAGGGAAAGCTGGTCTGGCCCCTGGTCAGTCCTGATTGGGTCTCAAGGTGCCTTGCAGGAAAGGTACTGGGGAGTATTAGGGGTGTTCTGTTCTGAGGAGACTTTGGGATGTTCTTGTTAGGAAAACACAGTTCCCCCGAGAGGGCTGGTCCCCTGCCAGGCCTGAGCCCTGTTCTGCTGGGTGACTGATGCAGCCTGCATAGCCCACGGGCCCTGGCAGTGCTCCCGGGGGCTTTGAAAGCTGCTCTTGGTTATCGGTCTGTCCCCAGCTACCGTGAGAGGCCTGGGGTCCTGGGACTCGGCTGTCCTCTTTGCCTGGGATTTGGGTTGGAGAGTTGGAGACTCTTGGCAGGAAGCCCTGCAGCTTTCCCAGGGACATGCAGGAGCTAGTGGTGATGCCAGGCTGGTGCGAGGCAGGCTCTGGGACATGCTGCGGGAGGGCCCTGTGCCTTTGGTGTTGGGTCCAGGAGCCGGCTTCCTGCTGCAGGCCCCAGTGCTGGGCCTGTGCCTGGAGACGGGCCGTCTGCACCTGCCCTGCGATGGCTCCAGCTTCCTGGAAAAGAGCCATGGAACAGGCATGGGACCATGTGCACTGCTTCTGACACAGTGCTTGACCTTGAATAGCCAGGCCTTCTCCTGCAGGTCTTCCCTGCCGTGCAATGGGCAGGACTCTAAACTGGACCGTACCAACTGAGTCAGAACCTCGTGTCTGAATTTGGAAAAAGCTGAAGTGACTGTGATGTGTGACTTGCCTGTGAGAGGCCAGACCTAAGTGCCACCTCTCCAGCCCCTCCCTTCCCCACTACACCTGGCAACGTGTTAGGGCACGATGGACAGGCACAGTGCAGGTCACAGCATGACCACAGAGACCCCTCTTGGCAGTCATAGATGGGCCCTGCAGGCCAGTACCTGTAGTTTTAATGGCGTCAGGCCTGAGCTGGCCTGCTTTGTCACCACCGGAATGATGTGCCCGGCAGCTGGACGCAGAGAAAGTGCCATGGCCAGGATGTCCATCTAAGAGTCAGGAGACCTGGCCTCTGTGACCTTGGGCCAGGTCTGACATTTCTGGCATCCCACTGACTCAGGAAACCCTGGCAGGCCCTCAGCCTTGGGCTTCAGTTTTCCCACCCTCCGATGAGGAGGCTGGCCGCGCTTCCTGCCTTGGAAGGGCACTTTCCTGCCTCTGAGCACAGAGAGCCCTACCGTCTGGCCATTGTGGGGCGAGAGTGAAAGGAAAGGTAGTCCCGAGCGTGTGGGGTTCCTGCCCAGGCAGCAAAAGTACCAGCACTTCCCTCCGGCCTGCAGCGTGGAGTTGGTTAGAATTGCAGCTGTGGAAGTCACGGCCACTTGCCACTCTCCCTCCTGAGCCGCAGTTTCCCCACATCCAGGGTGGGAGTTGACAGTGTCTGCCTGTGGTGCTGCTGAGGCAGGATGGCGCTGTACCTGAGGAGAGAGCCCTGCCACCCCCACGGCATCCTCTGAGGGGAGGATCACACCTCTCAACTCTAAGCTGCAGCCAACTGCTTCCCTAAAGTCTCTTGGCTGGGGCCAGCGGTCCTGCCACTGTTCCCCCTCTGCTTCGTGGGGAGGGAGGTGGCACCAATGGCCTTCGGGCCAGGGTGGCGTGAGCCCATGCTTCATCTGCTGTGGCAGACACGGGGAGTCTGGGAGCGTACCTGGGTCTCGCTCTCGACACCCAGCGTGGGCAGGAGCTCTGCTGGAGCCCTCATTCTGTCATCTGTGGCAGCGGCTTACCCTGCAAGGTGCCCGTTCCTCGGAGAACGACGTGCCGTGTGCAACTCACATTCCCGCCTGTTCTGCAGTGGAGCCTCAGGTGGACACATGCAGACACCATGTGAGCATCAGGGCTAGGGCGAAGTTCTGGAGTTGGTACTTCTGGGTCGTTGTCTTTTTCCCTTTTCTTTGAATGAGGGAGACACAGCAAGAGAGGGAGTCAGAGACACCACACCCCTCACAGGTTTTCGAAGCTGTGCCCACGTCCCATCATGGGCAGTCACGTGCCCAGCACACTCAGGGAGGCCGCAGGACATGAACCTAGAACCTTCCCAGGTGAGCCAGCCTCACAGAGCATTGCGTTTTACCACCATGCCACCCTCTTGTCCCTGGGTTTACCTGGCTCTGACTCAGTGGTGATATTAGCTAGGTCATTTCCCTTCTCTGGTCAAGGGCCCTTACTGTTCCTTTGGGGAGAGGCTGGGGGCCTGAGGGTGGTTAGACCTAAGCATCAGGGAGCTGAGCCTTCAGGTGGCCCCACGTGAGTTGGCCCCTGTGTGGACATTGCTTTGTTCTGGCTCCCTGACTGCAGCCCAGAGCTCGTTCCAAGGGAGAAGCTCACCTGGAGGCCAGCGAGCACCGTGCCCTGCCTGTTTGCCTTGCTGAGGCTGGCCCGTACAGCAGCCACTCACCCGTCTCCTGGCTGGGGACAGAAAGGCTTCTTCTGTTCCTTTCTTGTAGCTTTTTTGGTCTTGGGCTTTGTAAGGGGTGTCCTGATGTTTCCTCCTTGGACTGAGGGACATGGCGGGGTCACTGCTGCTTCATGTGTGTGGGTATCAGACCAAGTAGCTGCTTCCTGTAAACATGAGAACAGGACTGGCCTTTGCTGCTTGTCTAAAGGAGAGGAGCAGACAGTTAAAGGTCGGCTTGAAACTGTCTCAAGAAGTCCAGAAAAGACTCTCTGAGAAGAAAGAAATGATCTTTTTCTTGGGACAAGCAGATGGCGAGGCAGTTACGTCGCTGGACTCTCACATGGCTGACTGGAGTTTGGTCCAGACCCCGTGGCTTGAAAATCACACCTGGTGTGTGTGTGTGTGTGTGTGTGCACATGCCCAAGATCCTGGGAGGAGCGTGAAGGAGAAGGGATTGTAACACGGCTATACTCCTTGGGGGGTGATTTCTCGTTTTCTGTCTTTCTGTCTCTGGTGAGTGCACACTCCCTGTAGCAAAAATTGCTCAAAAACAAACAAACTAACAAACAAAACACAAAAAAGTGACTTTTTTCTCTTTGGGAATAGCGGGTGACTGCGGGTCAGTGGGGTGGGAGGGGGGCTTGAGGTGGGGCCTGTGTCCCCAGGGGCCGGGTGGTCATGTGCCTGCTCCGTTCAGCTGAGCACCCACATGCTCACCTGGCACCTCATCCTGGCAGCTCCTCGCGGCTCTGGTCAGAGACACCGCAGTACACTGGGACCGGACTTGCCTGTCAGAGGGGTGCCCCTTAAGTTTATTCTGTTTCTTTATTCCACGAGCAGAGAGCGAGCACGGGGCATCCCAGCAGGTATCGATGCTACGATTGTCTCCACTCAGCCAGGCCCAGGTGGCGGCTACGTGGGTCCTCCAGACTCGAACTCAGAACCTCCCCATGGCGGTCTGCTTCGCCTGGTGCTCCCTCTGTGCCCAGGTAGAGATCGGACTGAGGCCGCCCACGGAGTGCCAGTCTGTGCCCCAGGCACCCTCCCAGCCCCGCCAGCTGTTGTGTGCTCCCCTCCCCCTGAGCCCTTTGCTCTCACGGTAGCCCAGGAGTTTGGCAGTGGGCTAGCCGGCCCTGCTGACAGCTCCTCTGTCGGGCCGTGTTTAATAACAGTTGCCATTTTCTGAGGACTGACAGCACAGTGCCAGCCACTTTCTGAAAGTGACCTGGTTTCATCCCAGCTAACATCGGGAGGTGAGATGAGGGCTTTCTGTGTTGCCCGTGAGGAAGCGGCTCAGAGGCGGTCTTCACTGATGCGGGATTGCTGTTTATTTTCTGAGTCTTGGCTTAGCCTCCTGGGAGTGGCTGCAGCTGCTGCTCCCAAGTCCCCTGAGCGTGTGCACAGGCCCGCCCCAGCACCTGACTGGGCCTCGCAGGCCCTTGTGTGGGCGGGAGCCTCTCTGCACCTGGCTGTGGGCTGTCCTCTGTTTTTGCGAGTGAGGCTGGGTGCACTGGGACCCCACAGCCAGTCAGGGCATGCCCCTCACCCTCTGCCTGCCACTCCCGGCCGTGCCCCCAGTGGGGGACTCGAGCTTGTGCCGGCCTGGTAGCCAGTGGAGTGCAGTTATGGATGGCGTCCTTGAGCCAGCAGCGGTGGCCTGTGCCCGTGCCTCCTGCCTCTGAGCAGGAGGGTGCTGTGTTGCTTCTGGTCGCTGTCAGGCCCAGCGGGGCCCCTGAGGCGCAGCCTCCGTGTCAGGGCAGTGGCTTAGCCCTGTGTGGCCCTGCCACCACCTCAGCGGTGGTGCTCAGAGGCCTTGTCCATGACCCTTGTGTGTGCAGTGTGCCCGTGGCCTCCTTGTGTGTGCAGTGTGCCCGTGGCCTCCTTGTGTGTGCAGTGGGCCCGTGGCACCCTTGGGGACGCACTGGCCCCGTGCCCCTTTTGGTCGTCCTTGTGTGTGCAGTGTGCCCGTGGCCTCCTTG